AATAATTTGGACATAGAGTTGATTTGTTTAGTCCAGACTTTTCATATTTAGAAGATACGTATCTTATTCAAAAACTGTATTTATTCCAAAAAAAAAATTTTTTTTTTTTTTTTTTTTGTAGCTGGTAGTTCTTTCCTTAGATGGAAAAAGTATTATACCAAAATTTTTAATAACCATACTTCAGAAAAATTAAAAGAATAATTTTAGTTAGGAATCAAATATACAGAAATTCAGAGGTGGAATGGGAATCTTACAGAAGACAAAGATCACACTGGCATCCAGACCCAGAGCAACTCTGTAAAGTAGGAAAGACTGAGAACAGCCCAACAGCTGCTTAGATCATTCTAGTGAGTGTTCCCAGGTACAAGTCTTTTGATAATGATGTCTTAATAAAGGGCTTAAAATGCACATTGAAGGAGTGTTTTCCAGGAATAAAGGTGAAGATATTTAAATTGTTTTAACCCACAAACTATTTGGTCAAAGGAATATCTAAAGCTAAAGACAAGCACATCTGGTAGAAAAGCATGGCAATGAATGGTGACAAGATGCACTTGGATCTCATTTGCAGCATCTGGCAGTGGGTAGTAGACCACGGGTAGGAATCACGGGTTCTCCTGTGTCTGCTCTGTGAGAGGCTCTGTAGCGGTGGCACTAGCATTTGCAGTCGAGTTCAAGACTTCTCCAAAATCACCGCCAGCAGGCTTGGTTCCCCCTACTTTGGACTTTAAAAAAAAATTCAAAAAGGAAGACACATCATGAAACATAAATGTAGTGGACTCTGTACTTTAAAGAACAAATACATCAGGAATAGAACAGTTCCGTGATTTTTACATATGTATGGAATGTAATACTGTTGTAATGTTCAGTGTGGTTTAAAAGCAAAACTGCAGTCTTCTCTGCTGAAATACTCAGATTGATCAATTCCACCCTGTACCTTTTCTCACTGCCCCCCATCTGCAATTGTTCTTCAGAACTTTGTAAGGCTTCTTATTTTAAAATACTGAACTCTCTACTTGGATAACACTTTATATTGTACCAAATTGTTCTTTCAGCTATACACATTCAGAAATATTACTATGTCAATAAAAATGTATATATACTTTCACAGTGACACTGTAAGCTTTTTAATCCTTTGCTAAAGAGCAGTCCTAGGGCCTATGGAGAAGGGAGCTTGTTAGGCTACAGACTGTCAGGACTCAACGCCTGGTATCTACAGAAAATTTTGAAGCACTACCCCAACCTATCTGACCTGAAATGTCCGTAAGTATTTGTTGGAATAACTACATCTGCTTGTATTTTATGCTTTTCAAAACCTTACACTTAACATGACACTTCATCCTATGCTCTCTCACAATGTTACATCTCATGACTTACCTAGAGGACAGCAGGCTAACATAGGTTAACTAATCAATAGCCAAGAGTGCAAGAAGCTAGTAGTGGGGCTTGAAACTGACCTTGTTTTTAAGTTCAACTTTAAATGAAACCCCGAAGACTAGTTAACATTTTGAAACTAGTTGGAATTCTCTCTCTTACTCTTGGTCTCCCATTAAAACCCAAAGGAGCTCTGGTGGTGCAGTGCCTAAGGCATTTGACTGCTAACCAGAAGATTGGCAGTTCAAACCCACCAGGCACGCCAAAGAAGAAGACTGGGCAATCGATTTCCATAAAGATTTACTACCTCGGAAACCCAAAGGGGGTCGCTATGAGTCAGAATCAACTCAATGGCAGGGAGTTTGAGTTTGCTTTTTATTAGAACTCAAAAAAGTTCCTTAGAATTGTTTATTTGCATAACTTATATCTATTATAGTTATTAAGTTTATTAAAACACATTCCTTAATTGTTGTTGTTGTTATGTGCCATCAAGTCGGCCCCGACTCATAGCGACCCCTCCTTGGGTTTCCGAGGCAGTATCACTACGGAAGTAGGATTGCCCAACCTTCCTTCCGAGGAGTGGCTGGTGGGTTTGAACCGCCAGCCATCTGGTTAGTAGGCAAGTGTCTTAGCCACTATGCTACCAGAGCTCCCTTCCTTAATTATAAGAATGTTAAAGATCCTTGCAAATGAACAACTTCTCCCCACAACTAGCTCTTTTTCTATTCTTTGTTAAATTTTAAGAGGTAGCATCACCACCGTATTGGCCAGGACAAACTCCCGGGAGTTGTCCTTGATGATTCCCTCTTGTTCCACATCCTATCAAGCACTAACTTTTATTTTTCCTCTCACTTCTAAACTCTAAACATTTCCAGTCTTTGACCCACTGGCACTGCTTTAATTTACTCCACCATGATTCTTGGCCTGGATCACCACAACCTCCAACTAATGTCCCTACCTAAGTGTTTCTCCCTTTCCGTCTGTAGTGCGGCCAGTGACCTTCCTAAATTGCACATCGGGATGCACCACTAGATTGCATAAACCCACTGCCATCGAGTTGATCTTGACTCATAGTGACCCCTATTGGGTCTCCAAGGCTGTAAATCTTTATGGAAGTCAATTGCATCTTTCTCCCACAGAGCAGCTGGTGGGTTTGAACCACCAACTTTCTGGTTAGCAGCCAAATGCCTTACACACTGCACCACCAGGGCACCTTTCATAAGATCCTCAACAGCTTCCCTTTGCCCTAAATCCAAATTATTTAATGTAGCCTACCCTCCTCTGTATCTCTATCTCCTGCTCAATACCTTCTAGCCACAGTGTTCTTCAAAAGGGCCCCTTTGGAAAGTCTTCAAACACTCCCATCAATCTAAAGACCTCAATTTATATTTATCATGTTCTGTGAGAGACCTTCCCCCGCCCCACCCTAGTCAGGGGTTCCTATGATGTGTCTTCATTGTACCTGAAATGTTCCCTGTCCAAACACTTCACTTCATTTTCATTGCCATTTGATTATCTAAAAATCTTGCAGGAATAGTTTGTACCTCTCTCACTCACCACAGTATCTCCAATGCCTAACACTCATAGTTTGGCACACAGCAGTTGCTCAATAATCACAGATAAATTAATCAATCCAAAATCTATAGGTACTTGCACAGAGACCCAGTATTTTATTTTCCAACTAGCCATTTTCCAAACTAACAGAGTTGATTTTAAAGAGAGGCTGTAATGGTCCTAACAATATTGAGCACAGAATTTATAGTAAGCCTTGACTTCTAATGCAGTGTGTTAACCAATATATAACTTGATGTTAGAAAGAAAAAAGCAGGTCTCTTGTACTGACTGTTAAGAATGACTATGATATATTTTTTACTCATCAAATACATACTGAGAGTAGCTACAATGTGCCAAGGACTTCCCCAGGCATTCAAACATCCTGTAAAAGTTAAATGAACAGGTTACAGGACTGTGTGTACAATATGGATCCTTTTTGTAAAACATTTATACATTTATGAAGACACAGATACACTGTGTATTAATGTTTATATGTGTAAGACAAAAGGTCCAGATTGCCATACTTTGATTTTCATTCAGTAATCATGCCCCGTACCTTCTGTAATTTAAAAAAGATAGTTTTTTTGTTTTTACTCAATTATAGTTCTGAAAGATTAAATCTGAGTATTTAAGCTGATCTACATAAATATTTAAGATGCCAGTTTTGACCCTTAAAATATATCCACCATAATTATCATAGTTAGTTTAGAAAAAAATAAGCATATGGGCTCCATACAGCAACGACCATGATTTAGTACAAATTCTGTAGAGAGGCAACCGTGGATGGGAATGAGATAACCTTTCATATCTCCTGTAATTTAGAAAGAGTTGATTGTTTTGTAGTTTTCGGTATCACCTTAAAGATAATACAATTTACAAATTAATGCAATCAATAATTATGGGAAATTATCCCCCTTTACTGAAACCAAAAAAAGTTTAAAAAAATAGAAGAGTAACTCTTCAATGATCAACATCTGACATTATTTATAGTAATTAAAATTTTCAATGATTGAAGCTTAAACAAACAATATCCATTATAGGGCACATACCAGCATCCATTAAACATAATATTAAAGAATATTCAATGATATGGGGAAGTGTTTATGATCTATGGTTAATTCTTTTATAAAGCATTACAGTGTAATCCCACTACATACAAGTTTTCTTTTTTAAAATGTTTTGTGCTTTTTTATAATGTTTTCAATGTTCTATAGTATTAAATTTTGTCCAATTACAAAAATATCTGAAATGAATATGGCAAGAGAGTAGCACAACCTTTTAAAGCACTCTTTGCTTTTTAAAATAATGTTTAAATTCCTCTCACACTTAGCATGCTGACATGCCACAACACACACTCCGGAAATACTGATTAAAAAGAGTACATATCACCTTAAATGCCCATTAATAACATTATGAGTAGAGTTCTTAAAGTTCTTTGAATATTTTTATAAAGAAATACTAATATGAATGATTTTCCCACACCAAAGAAAAGTAAGGCACCAAGCAAGATATCCCAAAACCCTACTCATCTCTACTTGCCTTTAAGTTTTCAACTTTTTCTTCAAATGATTTGAAAGTTGGGGAGTTTCTATAGAGAGAAAATAAAAACAAATAGTATATAATTACAAACACTGATAAAAACTCAACAATTCTGAAAACATCAGGAGTTGACTGCATTCCTTTTCACCAAATATTAGGAAAATAATTAATATTTGAGTCAATTATTCGCAATCAGCAAAAGACCAAATATACTGTATTTTTACACTAATAACACACTGTGTTATACTTTTCTGGGGCCCAACTGTGCCCTCTCCATCCCCAGGTCAGCCAAAAAAAAAAAAAAAAATTGTGTATAGATATATATCTATAGATATGGATATAATGCACATTATTTATGTAAAAATGCAGTATTTATTTTATCTACATACACTATTAAGATATAATGTCAACATAAACTTAAACACTTAAAGAACATTTGGAAGACAGAAAAGATTTCCTCTGACAAGGATTGAAGCTCTCACCCCATACCATGTGTGTGCAGGTACATATACAAATAATGCCTATTATTACTTAAGAGTATCACTATCTGTTGTAATACTTTCACAATTTCACTTTTGAAGTTGAACAAAGCCAGTTTTAGACATCCATGATACAGATATAGTCCCATACGTATGTGAGGAAAAGAAACAAAAGCAGGTAAAAATACCAATTCTATCACTTCCACAACCAAAAATACCACCATCTGATCAATTTAATTTGGTTAAGGTGTGATGCACTAGAATTCGTGTTTAAATTCATGTGTTACCTGACAGGACTCCTACAGGAAGCTGCAGCACCCAACAAGAAAAGCAGACTATATGAGGTTTCATTAACAGGGATCCTTATTCTCAGGGAGCAGCTTAATAAACAGGGAAGGAGGGACCAAAAAGAATAGAGAGCACACAGACTTGGCTTTGCCTGAGTGACACCACTGCCTCACTGAGAGAGCGGCTGGAACCCGCAGGACAGCTTCTCACATGCCTCTACATTCACCCATACAATCTGAGGATGATCACAGTGCCTGTGTCTCTCACACGCAGGTTTCTGAAGCTTTATTTAGATTGTCCACTTGACTTTGAGTATCTGTCCTACTACACCAAGAGGAAAAAGAAAACAAGGCTATCCTCTCTTCCACAGTGATGCCGAGTATGATGTTTAAGCTAATGGTTCTCTTAAGTGTCATCCCCAGACCAGCAGCATCTCTCAGGGACATAATGGATGCAGAGTCCCAGGTCCCTGGTCCCAGCTTAAGCTCACAGAATCAGAAACTCTACGGTAGGGCCCCGTAATCAGGTTTTACCTCCTCCAGGTAATTCTGATGTACAATAAAGCTTAAGCTAAGAATAGGTTGCTAAAAATCCTCTCTCTCTGGAGAGGTCTGGTGAGGTAACAACATGCACCACTTGTCATTGCTTAGTGATGAAATAGGATAGTAGAATCAAAGCAGAGTTGGCTTCAAAGATCACACTAGGATAAGAGAAGTAAAAATGGGGAGGGTGCAAGAAAAGTGTATAATTAATGCTAATGGAGACAGAGGAGGGGGGACATCTACATACATGAAAAGAGAAGGCTTATTATTATTAGATCAGTAGTGGTCACTTTTCAATTAAACAGTTTCTGATATGAAGGAATTTAATAGGTCTAAGAAATAAAATAGAAATAATAATTCTTTTTAAACACACACACACCATGAATCTCTTATACCCATCTGAACATTGTAAGAAGAGCAAGTGAAAAAAAGATAGTGTTAAACACACAGCTTCTTTAAGGTAGAATTCTAGTCAATGTGAAAGCATAAGACCGATTGCATTTGTAAAAATATACTTTACCTCATAGCAGGCATGCTAATTGAATGCTGAATGGAACGTATACTAAGAGGCAGCAGAAAAAGAGATAGAAATAAAGTTAGCACAGTGGTGAATAGATGTTATAAAAGGTAAATAAAACTTAGCTTTATAGGAGCTTTATTCTTTTGGCATCACGAAGAATTATCTACTTTTTGAGGTGGAGGGAAGTCAAAGTTATTCCAACATAATTTTATTCATGAGCCAATTTCCATATAATCCCAGTAGTTTTATAGCTGTTAATACAATCTTGCATTTTTATAGCACCTTGAAAACTATAAAGTGCTTTCACCTGTACTTGTAAGGCATACAGGGAGGTCAGGTATGCAGTGCCTAAGGCATCTGACTGCTAATCAGAAAGTTAGTGGTTCAAACCACTAGCCACTCCATGGATGGAAGATGGGGCAATCTGCTTCCATAAAGATTTACCACCTTGGAAACCCAATGGGGGCTGTTATGAGTTAGAATTGACTCGATGGCAGTGGGTCCGTTTCCCCCCCCCTTTTTTTTTTTTTGGTAAGGCATACAGAATCAGAAGTTAAATGATTGACCCAAGGTCACAAAGCCGGTGAAAGGCAGAATCAAGAATGGAACCTCAGGTCTTCAGGAATCTTAATCAATGCTTGTCCTCTCCCCTCAAAAATGGAGGACACACATTTATATACATACATGTAAACACACACACACACACACACACACACAGGTGTGTACACAGAAAAGGGAGGCCCTACAGCCGTCTTTCTCCCAGATATTTGTTCCTGGACCAAAACCAGGAAGGTTTCAAAATAAATCACCTATCTGATAACTTTAAATGATTTTAGTACTATCAGTTTTCTAATAAAAGACACTTGTACTCAATCCCAATTAAACTAAATGTTCTTTAGTTTAAATAAAGAACTTGCTTTACTAGGACCAACTTTTCTCTATGTGTTATATTTTACAATAATAATAAAGATTAAAAATATACCCACTGAAAAGAAGTTAATACAGAAAGATATAAAATCAAGGTCTCCCCGCTTATGAAGTAACTATTTTAGTAGGAAGAACAAGGAGACATATGAGTTTCATGTCCATTCACAGTTACTGGATCCTCTCTACAGTCCATATTAGGAGCTCTGGTAGCGTAGTGCCTAAGGCACTTGACTGCTAACCAGAAGGCTGGCAGTTCAAACCAACCAGCCACTCCTCGGAAGGAAGGTTGGGTAATCTACTTCCGTAGTGATACCGCCTCAGAAACCCAAGGAGGGGTCATTATGAGTTGGGTCTGACTTGATGGCACATAACAACATAATTGTTACGTGCCATCGAGTCAGCCCTGACTCATAGCGACCCCTCCTTGGGTTCTTGAGGCAGTATCACTACAGAAGTAGGATTGCCCAACCTTACTTCTGAGGAGTGGCTGGTGGGTTTGAACTGCCAGCCTCCTGGTTAGCAGTCAAGTGCCTTAGCCATTATGCTACCAGAGCTCCCAACATAATAATAGTAGTATGCTATTAACAACACAGTCCACATTTAGATAAATTAATTTTATTGGTAGCTGTCCGGTAATCTAAATATAGGGCAGCTATTGTTTCATTTCTGGCTTCCCTATGGAAGGTTACACAAAGCTTCAACTTCCTTAGCTTATTTATCATGTCCAATTTTATTCAAGTTTAAATATAATATGAAAAACTTCAAAACCAGAAAGCCATGTTGCTACTAGACCAGAATCATCTCTGATAGATAGGTTTTAAGATATAGTTAGCATCTATAAAATAATTTTTTGTTAAAATACTTTCCAACTTTATTTCTAGTCATCAAATATATTAATCTACAAACAAAACAGGAATATAAGTATGGCTTTCTCAAACACACCTGAGAAAAACTCAGAGGGTAACCCAATTCTTACTCAAACTCAGTAATTAGCTTTCAACCTCATACTTATATTTATTCTTACTTTGAAAGAGTTACCGTTTAAAAAGCTGAACTGATTTTTTTTTAAATTTTCCTCATCTTACACAGTTAGCTGATCTTCAAATCCCTAATAATAAAGGAGGAGTGGGAAGGAGGAGGAGGGAGAATTGATGACCGATATGTATTGAATGCTTACCATATGCCAGGCAGCCTTAAAATAAAGCTATCTACATATTGTTTCATTTAGCCCTCACAATAATCAATGTACGTGATGAATCAATGTAGCTCCTAATATAACTGTTAGTCATTATTATTAGCATCCCTTCATACTAGGCTATATTCTCTTAACACTTTAAAATTTAGCCAAGTTACTTTGGTTGTTAACAAGTCTTTCTCTACAGTCTAGAACAGTGCTTGGCAGAGACTTGGCATTCAACGATACTTCTGAAGAAGGAGTGGATAAACAACTTTGGTAAGTAAAATTAGCAAGCATGGGCATGAAAGGTAGAAAGGTTCATTAAAACTATTGAGTTCTAATCAAAGGTACTCTCTAGCAAGCAATAGAAGAGAGATTATTTCTTTTCCCTCTAAGTGGTGGAAATTTTCACCCAAAGGAATGATCTAGAATGGTTTTAAATAAATCGAAAATATCTGGAATTCGACAGGAAGAAACATACATTTAAAGAGGAGAAATTTCCTTTGGAAATAAAGGCAAATTTAATTAGCACATCCTCTCAAATATATACAAAATATCAGACTACTGAACTACTAGAGTATGCTATTAATAACACCCAGTTTTAGGTTTAACACTTGCACCAACTGAAGTGAGAAAGTTTTAATGTTTCCCTCAAAAATTTAGACGTGAGTCAATGTTTACCAAATAATGTGAAGAACAGTAGGGAGGAAGGGGTGGATGGGAACACTGCACCTGGGAGGAAAGCTCTCTCCTGGTGGGCTTCCTGGGATCCCACTCATTCCCATGGCCCCTCTCAGCCTTTCTGTGCTGTCTCAGACACCGGATCCTCAGGGCACCAAAAACAGACCTCTCTCTTTCTCTCCTTCTCTCATTCATATTTATATTCTTTCTGTTTCTGCTCCTATCTCCTCCTCCTCTTTCTCGAAGACATAAAACAAATATTTAGATCCCAAGTGCTAATTTATTAACGGGCAATGCAAAATAAAAACTGTTGCTAAGTGTAACAAATTCTTGTAGGCAAAATTGGTATATTTTCTCCTTCCATACACATAATTAAGGAGCTTTGGTGGCGTAGTGGTTAAGGCATTTGGCTGCTAATCAAAGTCAGTGGTTCAAATCTACCAGCTGCTCTGTGGAAGAAAGATGAGGCAGTCTGCTTCTGTAAAGATTTACAGCTTTGGAAACCCAATGGGAGTAGGGGGTCGCTAGGAGTCAGAACCGACTCAATAGCAGTGAGTTTGGGTTTTTTTTTTTTTTTTTTTGGTATATCCATAATGACATCAGAGAGTGAAATCACTGCCCTAAATTTGCGGGGAAGCATGAAGTCAGAACATAGGGTAGTTAAGGGGATTAACCAAAGATTTCATACCATTTGGTAAAGGAGCCTCCCACTCCATCTCCATTTCTCTTAAGGAGCAAAGACCTTGCTGTTGGGGTTGGAACACTCAGTGTCTACTGTCCAAGGTCCCTCTCCTTGAACAGTGGTTGGGGGAATGTTGCCATTAATTGCCACTGTGACTCATATTATCTAAAAGACGTATTCTTTCCCTTTATATACATGAACACATTAAGTGAAATTACAATCAGGATTTGTTGGCCTAGAATTGATTTTCTTTAAAGCTGCTGTGCCCAACTCTTTGTGTGTAAGAATTATATAGTTTAACTTCCAAAACGTAATCTTATTTCTCTCATTCCTAAGTTTTAATTAAAAGCATTGCTTTAGACTCCATGTATTAATACATTATAAGCAGGACTGAAAATGATAATAGTCTCAATTATACTTTTTAAATGAAATGAAAAAGGTGACTTCTGTAAAGAACTAGAGAAGAGCAATATTCCATTTGTTTCTGATAAACTAGTAAGACAGAACAGATAGACTAAACCATATTTATGTACATTTATTTACTCTTTTTAAAGGTACAGGAAAAAAATAGTGACACATACTGATTACACATATCATTCCTTACTAGCCCTTAAAAACTAGTTGCCATCAAGTCAATGCTGACTCATGGCGACACAATGCATGCTGGGGAAGAACTGTGCTCCACGGGTTTTCAAGGCTAATTCTTCTGAAGAAGATTCCAGGACCTTCTTCTGAGATGCCACTGGGTGGACTCGAACCACCAACCTTTCAGTTAGCAGCTGTGCATATTAACCATTTATACCAACCTGGGACTCCTAGAAGCCTTTTAAAAACCCAAAACCAAGCCCACTGTTGTTGAGTTGATTCTGGCTCCTAATGACCCTACAGAATAGAGAACTGCCCCATAGAGTTCCAAGGCTGTAATCTTTACACGAACAGATTGCTACATCTTTGTCCTATGGAACAGCTGGTGAGTTTGAACCACCCACCTCTGGCTAGCAGCCGAGTGCTTAACCACTATGCCACGAGAACGCCTTTACGTAACAAATATTTTTTGTATTTTATATTTACTTATATGTTACACTTTATTTTATAATTATGTATGGTCAGGGTTCTTCTTCTGGTCTTTATTCATCCCAAATTTCTACTTCCCCATCACCACTCAAAGATTTTAAACTCTATCAGAACAAGAACTATGGTTCAATGTTATATTTTTAATATCTGTCCACTGTAGACACTCTAAAGTGAGCAGAATGGATTAAGCAACTGAATGCAGTTATACTTAATTTACTGCTTAATTACACAACTCATGTAACTTTAGATAAAACTCTCTTAGGAGTGGTCTACAGGATTTAGGATATTTTAAATGAATACTGAAAATACAGAATCACCCTCACAAAGGATTTCACCTCCCTTCACTGATAACTTGATTTTTTTTAAGGCACAATTTTAGATTTAAATAGTTCAACATTTATAGTTTATATACTCCTGTATTTACTTCTTGGGCTTCTTGGGCTAAGCGTCACTAAGACAGGAGGGCCTCAGCTATAAGTACGAGCTTGCTGACTTAAGAAGACAAGTAAGTGGGCCCATGGCAAGGCATACCTTGGAGTTACTGTGTATTTGGTTTCAGACCACCTCAATAAAGCAAATGTAGCAATAAAAGGAGTTACACAAGATTGTTGGTGTCCCAGTGCACCCAAAAGTTATGTACACATTATCCTGCAGTCTTTTAAGTGTGCAACAGTACTGTGAAAAGGTTTGAAATATTGTGGGAATTAAACAAATTGTGACACAGAGTCATGAAGTGAGCATATGCTGTTGGAAAAATGGTGTCAACAGACTTGCTCGACACAAGGTTGTCACAAACCTTCAGTTTGTTAAAAAAAAAAAAAAAAAGCATTATCTGCGAAGTGTTAATAAAACGAAGCACAGTAAAATGAAGTATGCCTGTAATTTACATTAAAAGAAACAGAGATGAAGACCACTCTATGATCTTTCCTGCTCACATGCTAAAGATCCTCCTTCACAACTAATAGGACAATTGGAGAGTCATGGGAGAGAGAGGACAGGATTGCTCAACAATGCAAAGTCACTGTCTATAAGGCAGGATTTTGGCTGCCATCTTTTTAACGTGCTTTCTTTTTAGCTTAATATACTTTATTTTTCCTTTTGAAAATAATGAAAAATTTTTGTGCACATAGTTAAAAAGTACAGAATATTAAAAACCATAAGCAAGTCAAACAAGGAATGAAAAATGCAGAGTGACCTAAGACTGAAGGCCAACACTATGAAGCAGTATGTATGCAGCATATTACCACACCGTAGTAATGGGAGCCAGGTGAAGGAAAAGTCACACACTGTTACAAAAGCACCAGAGAAACAAAAGCATCAAAAACAAAGTCAGACATGAAAAGGGAGGAATTCTGCATGCCATGGTAAAGCTGTTTCTTTTTACAAAAAAAGAAACATCAAAATCATTCCCATATCCCTTGAGCCGCCCCATCACATTCTTCTTCTCATTTATCTATTACCCATGGTATACCAAGAAATCCTCCCCTGAAAGTAGAAAGTCACTCCAGAAAAATATATTCCAAATGCAAGAAAATTATGTAGTGGACAGACAACCACCCCATGTGGCATATTTATCTAATCTAAGCACACTTGTCTTATACAGCTGCTAAACTTCAGTGACAATTCAAACTCTCCTTACCTAAAGGAATGTGAAAAGGCTTGCAATCTGCAAGAAGCCAGAGTAAGCATTAAGAAAGAAAGTCAGTCTGGTAAATCTAAAACAATTAAATAACCTGCTTTAAGAAACTTGTATAAGGTCTTAATTGTATTCTAAAGTGCTACACAATTCTGTTAGCATAAAAAGGAAGTCAGAGCACCTAACAGATGTATACATAATTGTCAAAGGGTTCTAGAAAGCTATGGGTACTGCATTATGCCTAGAATGATGACAGTTCTAATAAAATGGACAAATCATTCAGTCCTTTTGACACAACACACAGTATATATAATATGTTGGTTTACTGCACCTATTGAACCAACAAAATTCTGGTTGTTCTGCATAAAGGAAAAACACAAAGTCATGCAATATGAAGTTTGAAAACACACACACAAACACACACACACACACACACCCCTTGCATGCCAACAGAAGCCCAGCTGATTTAAACCACTTCTGTCATTTTCAGCACTATTCAAATTCACATTGTGGAGGAGGGAGGCACAAAAGCCCTGTGAAGTGGTTTTGTCAAAATGGCAAGGATACTTTTGCAGATTAATCTAAAATACAAATGCAAAATAAAAAGCAATAGCTCACAATTAAGATTTAGGCCTAAGCATGAAAGGAGACACACTTTACAGATCAGTGAGAATCGGTGCACCAATGAGCATGTTGCAACCACAGCATGGTGTAAAAACGTAACATACAGAAGTGAAGCCAGTCTCAATTCAAGCGTGCACTTCAATGGTCCCATACTCAACCCCCATAAGACACCAAGCTCTGCCCATGATCAGAAGTTTGCCACTACGAGAGAGATACTTACCTTGTATGGCCAAGAAGGAATAAACATACACAAAAGTTCACAACCAGAATTTTTAAACAACCTCAAGCACATTCATGAGATGATCATTTTGAAGTTTGACTGCTATGCCCTAAGAATTGTGGCGAGCACCCCAAGTGCTGCTTTGAAGGAGTGCCTTCCCTCACTCTACCACAGGAGAGTCCACGCATCATCTGACCCCAAAGGCAGGACACAAATGCATCTACAATACTATATTTTCATTTGCCTTAATGAACAAAGAAAAATGAACACGTACTTCACATCTTCCAGCTTTTTAGTGATGACTGATCCAACAGATGAAAAAGCAGCTGAAGCCTTCTGTCCAGCCTGAGACAAGGTTTCAGATGTCTTCTTATATCTATGTTAAATTTTAAAAGAGCAGAGAAAGGAAAGTAAGCTAAAAAAAAAAAAAAGCTCATTATTTCAAGTACAGTGATCATTACCTATTTAAGAATCCCAACCCCTCCCATGCCCTACCAAAAACAAAACAAAACAAAAAGTTAAGAACATCTAAAACCCTTCACAGCTTCCAGGTCAGTATATTTATAGCATCTTATCCTTGAACATAGGGAGCTCTGGTGGTGCAGTGCTTAAGGCATTTGACTGCTAACCACAAGGGTGGTGGTTCAAACCTACCAGCTGCTCTGTGGAAGGAAGATAGGGCAACCTAATTCCTAAAAGACTTAGGAGCTTGAAAACCCAATGGGGGTGCTATGAATCAGAAATTGACTCGTTAGCAGTGAGTTTGGGGTTTTTTTTGTATCCTTAAACATAATTCCAGGCAACATCTTCTGCAATGCCCCAGGATAGCCAGAAAGGTAAAGGCCTAAACAGGCTAAGGCCAAAGAAATCAGGTAGCGGACTGTAAACAGTCATGGAGCAAAGATGAAAATGAACCAGAGTCTGAAATAAATTATACCTCTTGCTCCTCCTTCCTTTTCTAAACAAAAATGAAATCAAATTTCTCAGATACCCTTTACAAATTCATCTCCTAAAAATGGGCCAGAAATAAGAAGTAGGGTGGGATAGGTGAGGCCCATGTGTATTTTACTGTCCAAATAAATTTTATAGACATAAGGAATTATTTTTTATTTTTCATGTCTGTAGAGCTACCAAATAAGGACTTGCTAGACTCTCAACAGAGTATGTAAAAGGTGCAACACTTAAAATGACTCTAATATGATATTTGCTGTAACCAAACCAAAAAAAAAAACACAAACTCACTGCCATTGAGTCGATTCTGACTCAGAGCAACCCCCATTGGGTTTTCAAAGCTATAAATCTTTATGGAAGTAGACTGCCTCATCTTTCTTCCACAGAACAGCTGGTGTGTTCAAACCACCGACCTTTTGGTTAGCAGCCAAATGCCTTAACCACTAACATCACCAGAGTTCCTTATTTGCTACAACCAAAACCAAAACCACTGCCACTGAATCGATTATGACTCATAGCGACCCCCATTAGGTTTCCAAGGCAGTAAATCTTTAAAGAAGTAGACTACCCCATCTTCCTTCCATGTAACAGTTGGCGGGTTTGAGCCACCAACTTTCTGGTTAGCAGTCAAATGCTTTAGGCACTGAGCCACCAGACCTCCTTTATTTGCTATAACACATAGGTACAATTTACCATGTTCCTCTTCCCATCTACCTGGAGATTAAAGAAAAGAAAAAAGGAAAAAAAAAAAGACTATGGTACCTATCAAAGAGGTTAAGATCCCCATGTTACAGAAATGCATGTTCAAGTAATTCTACTTACCCCGTCCAGATCAGATACTAAAAGCAAATATAGTTTATGGTGATATAATCATAGAGAATAGTTTCCTATGTGTTTTCTTGCTGCCAACTTACACAGGGAGAAAACAGACCAAAAGGAGTCGGTTTCCTAATTCTGTTAGTTTAGAAATGCAGTCCACCTCATTGCTGATGGTTAGGTGATTAAAAAAAAAAAAAAAAAAACCATTAAGTGTACCAGTTCAGCAAATGGGACTGACTACAGAAGACAAAGAACTAGAAGCCTACTGCTCTCCTTTTGCCAGAAAACAAAAGTGCTGGTAATGATGCCATATCATCATCTGTATGATCAAAAGACAAAGGTTAAGGATCTGGCCTCTGCCACACTATGTATCAGTGCTGTGACTCAAGAATCTTATGGTTCATATGTTGTGTTACTGCTGCTGCTGTTAGGTGTCATCAAGTCGATTTTCAACTCACCGTGGCCCAATGTTATAGAGAAGAACTGTCCCAGTGTTTTCTAGGTTGTGATCTGCATGGGAGCAGATAACCAGGTCTCTTCTCCTGCAGAGCCCCTAGATGAGTTCCAACAGCCAACGTTCCAGTTAGCAGTGAGTGCTTAACCACTGCATGACCAGGGCTGCTTCATGCTTTCTATAACCCACTGCCATTGAGTCAATTCCAACTCATAGCAACCCTCACTGGGTTTCCAAGGTAGAACAGAGGTAGATTGCCTCATCTTCCTTCCACAGAGCAGCTGGTGGGTTTGAGCTACCAACCTCCTGGTTAGCAGTCAAATACCTGAGGCACTGTGCCACCAGAACTCCTTAGACTTTATATAGAGCAATGTGTATGCGTGGGGGGTGGGGTGGGATTGGCTCTATAGTCAGCTAGACTCAAGTTCAAATCTAGACTCTACATTTTGAGTCAAGCCTTATCTTATTTGAGCCAGTTTCCTTCTAGGGCTATCTTACCATCTACTCTACTGGGTTATTCCAAGGACCAAGTGGCATAATATATATATTTGGCAAGTCAATATGTGGCATTTTTGGAACTTAAATCTTATTTAAATCACAGGAGGTTTGCTTTCTTTCTATTCCCTAGAATGGTCTAGAATGCTGAAGTTAGAAGAGAGTCAAGTATGCTTGAAAATTGGGAAGTGCCCTGCATCATCCAAAGAAAAGCTACAGAAGCCTCATCAGCCCTTTTCTATTCCCCTCCACAGCCACAAGGCAGAAAAGTGTTCTTTACCATCCTCTAGAAAAATATATGATCAAGTGAACATACGCAGATGTTGCTGTCATATCTTGCCACCCTTTGGCAATGTTCTGCTTTATTTCCTGTAGTGAACTGATTCCAAGTTTCCTCTTGATCTCCGCTAGATGCTTCTCTTTTGCTGCTAATACCTGAGAAAGAGTCTGGATTTCCTCTTCTACCTATGAGCAAGGGAGTTGGGGTGGAAATACAGCATATGTCATTCAATAAGTAAAGATTATTAGTGCAAAACTATACTCAAAACACTAGACTCATTTGTTTTTTTAATTTTGATTCACTTATCTGTGTTGCTTTTAAAGCAGCATAGTAAAACCTGCAAAAGCTAGAAAGTGTGTAAAGTGGAAACCTGTCACATAAGGAAAACTCAAATATTTTCCACTGATAGAGAACAACAGGAAAGTGGTAAGACTGCCTTTCAAAGCAGAAAACTTGCAAGACCCAGAAAAACAAGGGAGTTCTATCAAGTTGCAGCTCTTGTAGGTTTCATGTATACTGTTGTTAAGTTGGTCCCCTGTAGATCTGTTCTGTAGAATTTCTCTTCTTTTGCATGGTACCTCTTTTTTTATTTTCATCTTGAGTAGCCCTTAACCTTTATCCCTTCTACCGATACTTCCTTACTCAGTTTTCTCATACAGGCTTGTTGTTGTTGTTGTTATGTGCCATCGAGTCAGACCTGACTCATAGCAACCCCTCCTTGGGTTTCCAAGGCAATATCACTATGGAAGTAGATTGCCCAACCTTCCTTCCGAGGAGTAGCTGGTGGGTTTGAACTGCCAGCCTCCTGGTTAGCAGTCAAGTGCCTTAAGCACTATGCTACCAGAGCTCTTCATAGAGGCTTAGGGCTCTACATCTCTACACAGGTAACACTTAAAATTATTCTAGCATACTCTCTTCTGATCTCTGGGTTTGTACTTCCAGCTAGACATTTCTACTGGAATGCTCATAAAAATTCTCATTCATCTACTAAAACTAACTAATCTTCTTCCCCACCAAAATATGTTCAAGCAAGCCAAACCTAAATCCAGCCCTCTTCCATATTTCCATGTGGGTTTATACTGGATATGCCAGTTCTAGTGCTTGCTAGAGGCATGAATAAATCAAACGGCCTTCCCCAGAGAGTCCCAATTAAAGTCCCCTGTGGGCCCCTTGATGCTTCCTACCAGCTAAATGGTTAGAGGTAGGCCCAAACTCAAGGACAGCTAACCCATGCATGGCCAACAATTACTGACGTGCTCCTGTGAAAGAGAAGCTTGACTAACCACAACCTCTCTCACTCTGGAATCTGGTTTGAGAAACTGAGGTAGAAGCAGAAGCTGAAAATATTTGGAGAGAACAGTCTCTGAGATAACGTTGTGGCAAGTTTGAAAGATTTGAGGAAGCCAAAACTGTAAGCAGGAAAGAGTCACAGAGTGGAGGGGGAAAAACAAACCAACAAACTCACAGAGAGACACCATGTGAGAGAGACTTTGTGGCCCATGAGATTAAAAGCTGGCCCCTAAAGCATGTCCAACACAAGACCCTTAGAAGGATGCTGCTCTTAGGTTTTTGCAAAGCAACGTTCTCAGCCCCAACCTGCATAACACTTTTATGATTTCAAAGTCAATGGCCTTTAAATCTTTAGAAAACACTAAGCAAAGGGACATAACACTCAATGAAAGAAGAAAGGATCAATCAAATGTGATATGGCTAGTAGGGAAAAAAAAAAAAAAAGATAACATAGCTCTTTGACTGCACTAATTAGAATGCAGGGTCTAGAACAAATACATATTCTTCTCTGTGCCAGTCAGATAAGACCTTAAATACTGTCCCGTTTCAGAAGCCACATTTTAAGAGGCACACTGATAAAGTGCATTATAAGAAGAAATAAGCAACAAAGGAAGAATGAATCAGGTTCAAAATTAAATAAACTCATCAAACTAATAATGTAGGAAGCAGAATTTCAATACAGGTGACTCTATGTCTTAGGTTACTGGCTGATTCGCATTGCAACTCTTACTTTTTCAAAACCTCTCTCTTTCCACCAAACCTCAAATCTTCGCATACTTCAAAGAACTGACTTACATGGTCTGTTCTTTGAAACTCCTCTGGGGAACTCATCTCACCTTCCCTAATGAAAGCTGGAAAGAAAGACCACTGCAAATCTTTCTAAACAATGCACAGTGCAGTGTATTTCCCTAGCCCAGAACACCATAGCTGTAATTCCTTAATTCAGTGAAGCTCCAGATGGAAGGGTTCTTCTTGAAAACATTATACTAAAGTGAGAGAAGCCAGATGCCAAAGACCACATATTGTATGAGTCCATTTATATGAAATATCCAGAACAGGCAAATCCACAGAGATAGAAAGCAGATGAGTGATTTTTAGGGGTTGGGGAAGGTGAAAGTGGAGGTGGTACTTCCTCCTTTTGGGGTAGTGAAAATGTTCTGGAATTTTAAGTAATAATAGTCACACAAAATTGTGAATGTATTAAATAAATGTTACTGAACTGTACACTTTAAAATGGCTAAAATGGTAAATTTTAAGTGTATTTTACCACAATAATAAAAAGGTGTGGTTCTTTACCTTTGCAAGTTCTCGTCTTAGCTCTTCTTGCTCCTCTTCTGACAGGGCCTCTGTGGCACTGATCGTGGCAGCAGCATCTTCCCCCTCCTCTGGTACTGGGTCTGTTCTCAGCACACCTTGTTGGGGATTTAAAAAATAAAGAGTCTCTCAGGTCTGAAAGGTAAGTAAGAGTCTACTATGGGCTACTCCACTGTCCCAGCCACAATTAAGCTACCCATGCTAGGGTCCACACATCACCTTGCTAGATCTTCAAATAACCTGGCTCTTCTATCCAGTACAGGACAAAGAGAAGTCTGGGTTGACCACTAAAAACAACCAACTGAGACTCTGCCAAAATATGAGTTTAGAAAAAATAGCACTTTCTCAGAGTCTATTCATTTAATCAGTTATCTGTGGAACAGAAGAATCAGAAGCCTGGAATCGGATCTTGGCAAGGCTTTCAAACGCTCAAATAGTAAATCAGCACAAATTAGCTAAAAAATTTTAGCCACCTCACACTAAACAGAGGAAGTGTGTGGATGCCTTTGGCTTCCTCTAATTATCAAATCCAACGTTTAACAGCCTCCTGGGTAAAGGAGAAACTGCTGAGTAAACTAAACACATAAAGAAACTTTATTCCATTTCTCTCAGTTAGTTAGTGGAGGTGAGAAACACCTATAGCTTTTCTTTTTAATGTCTCATCCAGATACCCTTAACCTTTTCATGACCCAAGTATTTTCTATTTTGAATTTTCTTATTGGTACCATATGTTTTCATTAATGGAAGCCATGCTGAATCAAGAAGAATTTCTGAAATATGGATTCTGATACATATTAGGTAGGAAACATATGTCCCTCTGGACTCTGGAGGTGGACCATTTGGGGCATGGGCATGCTTGTCACTGTGGACTCAGGGAGGTAGGATTAGTGGGTAACATATGTCCCTCTGGACTCTTCACTGCCTTCTAGATCCCTTGACAGGTGTATGTAATTTGTTGTTGTTGTTGTTGTTGTTATGTGCCGTCAAGTCGGCCCTGACTCCTAGCGACCCCTCCATGGGTTTCTGAGGCAGTATCACCACGGAAGTAGATTGCCCCATCTTCCTTCCGAGGAGTGGCTGGTGGGTTTGAACCACCAGCCTTCTGGTTAGCAGTCAAGTGCCTTAGCCACTATGCGTATGTAATTTAGAGTACCTGAAATGCAGTATCTATACAAACATGGAATCATCACGAGAAAGGTAACTTCCAAATAACACCAAAAACCAAACTCACTGCCATCGAGTCAATTCTAACTCATAACGACCCCCACTGGGTTTCCAAAGCTGTACACCTTTATGGAAACAATCTGCTTCATCTTTCTTCCGCAGAGCAGCTGATGGGTTCCAACCACTGACCTTTTGGTTAGCAGCCAAAGTGCCCTAACCACTACACCACCAGAGCTCCTTAAATAATGCACAGGAAACTGGAAATACACTTACAAAGCTTATCTCCCAGTAAAGAAGCCAAAAGAAACAAAAACAGAAGTTTTGCAAAATCACACCTGTAGGATGAATCATTTCATCCAGTACCTGTCAAAACAGTAATTTGCAGCACATGCTCATTTCTTCTATTTCAAACAGTTATACAGGTTCAATGGGAAAGCAGCTGTCTAACAAACCCCAGAGGAAGAAAATGCTATATTATCTGCAGGTCATAAAGGGTTAAAAAATCCTAATGTATATTACTCATAGAAATGACTAACATCCACAAAGAGGTTTTCCACATTATTCAAGACCTTTCCCCAGCCACACCCATTTCCCTGGAGTAGAGCCAACCACTAAAAGCCCACCAGGGAGAACAGGGGATTTCTGAGAGTGGCCAGGGAGGCAGCTGCCCCTTAGCAACGTTCTCCTTCCTTCCTCCCAATCCTCAACCACAGCGCGGGGACAAGGCCAGTGAATCCAAAGTGGTGCTACCATGGATGCAAATTTGAAGGAGACAGCAAAAAATATGACACATAATATCTTGATGCTATATTTGTTAAAAATCAAAATTTATGTTAAAAATCCATGATAAGCAAAATACCAAAAGTTTAAATAGGGTCTCTATGGCTGATTTTTCCTTTTGCCTCAGGACCTAAATGGTTCTTCAACAGGCAAGCAGAGAAGGAGGAGGAAAGAGAATATCCACAGTGCTCAACAAGCAGCAGGCACCATGGCAAACATAAAAAAACTATGAATCTATGAGATAATGGGTACATACGTACATTATATACAAGGTATGCAAAAGCACTTGGAACAGTCTCTTGCATATTACCTGTTTAATGTTAGCTAACAATAATCAGCATTACAATATTGAAAGTGCCTACAAATAAGGTGTTTACAAAATTGCCGAAGGCATAAAATCAATACAAATAAACAACTCCAAAAAACTACAAACCAGAATGGAACATGGAATATGATTAAGCCCTCTAATACGCAGATATACTCAGCAGGCACAGTCAGTACATGGAAAAGCTCAATGAACAATTACTTTTGTAGGTACCCTTCTCTAGTGCCCAAGCAATGTTTCAGAAATTTGATTATGTCACCCCCCAATTTAACATCCTTCAGTGGTTGCCAAATGTTTTCAAGGTAAAGTTCAACCTCTTTTAGCACACAAGCCTTGATCCTGCTATCTGGTATTGGCTAGTGCTTGAACAAATTATCTTAGAAAAATCAGCATAAGGCCAGTCCCCGTGAGGCGGAGGTTAAAGATGTCCCAAATGTCCAAACTACCACACCACTTCATCATTTCAGACATTAACTCCTCCTCCTCCTCCCAGTAATCTCCCCCATCTTAGGGTTCTGTATTTCGCTGTAATGTCTCACAGAACTGACTGACACCCAAGGGATCGTCTCACATAGGAGTGGTGGAGGCTGGCAGGCTGGAAGTCCCAGGTCTGTGAGTGGGTCTAGAGGATCCTCCCAATTCTCGGGGTTTAATGAACCTCGATCAACAGATCAGATGACAGCTGCTGTCCCAAATCCAGGGGTGAGAGGAAGTTGAGCCAAAACACAGAACCCAAGCAAGAGGAGGGCAAATCTTCCCAGGAGATTCGTAGGTATACCCTCAAGGAAGCTGTTGTTGTTGTGTGCCGTCGAGTCGGCCCCGACTCATAGCGACCCCTCCTTGGGTTTTCGAGGCAGTATCACTACGGAAGTAGGATTGCCCAACCTTCCTTCCGAGGAGTGGCTGGTGGGTTTGAACCGCCAGCCGTCTGGTTAGCAGGCAAGTGACTTAGCCACTATGCTACCAGAGCTCAAGGAAGCTAAGGGTGGTGATTTGAGTTATACCCTCCAGGACGGCAGGACTCAAGATACATTCCAGCTGTGTTGCCCCAACAGCAATGACCCAAGTGGATGGCGTTAACAATCAGCAGCTACTCAGTTGCTCAAGGCAAATCCCACCACAGAGCCGACTGCCAGTCATTATAGGGAGTAACTACTTCCAGCTTCCCAGCCAAGTTGACACCCAACCTTAACTACCACACCACCCCAAACAGGCATGGATAATATGATTTACAATACATCACCGAATGGAGGACAATGGCTAGAAGGGCCACATCAAGCAATTCACTGCAGCTCCTCTTACTCCAACTCCAGTTAAATTAAACTGTGAATAAGATGCTGCACTATGACTGTCAGATACCATTTAAGAGGTTCTACACGTGCTCTGGTAGTGTAGTGATTAAAGCACTCAGTTGCTAAAATCCAAAGGTCAGTGGTTTGAACCCACTAGCTGCCCTGGGGGAGAAATAGGAGGCAGTCTGCTTCCATAAACATTTGCAGCTTGGGAAACTCTATGGGGCAGTTCCATTCTATCGTAAAGGGTCACTATGAGTCCGAATCAGTGGCAGTGAGTTTTGGTGTGCTTGTAAGTTTATCCCCTGTGCCAGATCACGTGATACAGGGAGCACAAGACTGAGGATGGGAGATATATATATATATATATGCAAGTAATAATATGAGGCAATACACTAAAAACCATAACAGTTACTTATAAACATTATTTTATTTTTAATATTTTGTGCAGAACTTTCAAGTTCTCCAGCTAGAACTGAACCAATAAGTTTAAATTAAAAAAAACAAAAGATGTTAAACCATGCCTCAAATAACAAAGATTATTTCATCCTTTTTAATAAACACTATTTGTCTACGGCCCTTGACTGCTAACCAGAAGGTTGGTGGTTCAAACCCACCACCCACTCCTTGGAAGGAAGGTTGGGCAATCAACTTCTATAGTGATACCACCTTGGAAACCCAAGGAGGGGTTGCTGTGGGTCGAAACTGACTCGACAGCAGTGAGTTTGGATCAATTCAAGAAGAATGTAAGGGGATCCTAATAATATTTAAGTATTCAGTTAGACTATCAAGGAAAATAAATATCTCAGCAAAAGGGACTGTGTAGCTGTCCACAGTTAGCTTCAGCACCTCTAAGGTGACCTTGAGATTCTGTGTTTAGAATCTCAGAAAGTTGGTAGTTACAGGTCCTGTCTTTTCCATATTAGCCTGTAGGTGGGAGCAAATCATCAACATTAAGATTTAAAGGTGTGGTTTGTTTTAGATAACAATAAACTGGAACAATAAATGGAGGTGAAAGAAATGGAATGGCAGGTATTAGAGTCATCAGCATAATATGACGGTCATGCCTTAGTAAAGTTACAACTACTGCCACCACCACTGCATGCATTATTTGTATCCAAATCTGAGACGTGTGACAAACATACTACACCACTCATGTGCAAGCCTTTTGTGAGGTGGATGTATTAGTATCACCATTTACAGATGAGAAAACACAAACTTAAAGAGGTTAAGCAGCCTGGTCAAGGTGACACATGGGGTATGTGGTGGAGTTAGAATTTTGAACCCAGACAGTCTGGTTTGAAAAAACAGATGCTTCAAAACAGATAAGAAGACTGAAAGGTAGGAAAGGTACCTAGACTTGGAAAGTCTCTGAAAGCAGTCATAAATCAGACTTCCTAAGAAGTAAAAGAATCTGAGAGACTAGATAAAAATCAGTCTCATCAATTTTCAACTCTAGGTTCCCCAAACCCAGGAATCCAAATTTTATCTTACATATTTTTCTAGATATTATTCTGTTTCCTATACATTCAGTAAG